GTGAGAGATGCAGGGGTCAGAGGTTGAGAGTGGAAGGTGATGTCAGAAGGTCAAAGGTTGGTAGACCTACAAGACCCTACAAGAATAGTTTGTTAACCTGATTGTACTTTTCTTTTTCCTTCTTTTTAACATTTATTTACCTTGGTGAAGGGGTCCACAGCAAGTGTATGGGCCTCAGAGAATGGCCTGTGGGAGTCAGTTCTTTCCTTTCACCATGTGGGGCCTCGAAATTGAACTCAGGTCTTCAGGCCTGGTGGCAGGTGCCTTTGCCCTTTGAGCCACCTGGGAGCTGCCACCCCACCACAGGGCCTGTATCATTCAAGTCCCATGACCTCTGACACAAAGTTGCAAAAATCAATTTAGCATGAACTGGGTGTAACAATTACATCCTGGCACTTGAAAGATTTAGGCAGGAGGATGATGGTGCCTTAGAGGCCAACCTCAGTTACTCAGTGAGACCCCGTCTCAGTGACGATGATGACCATGATTATAATAGTGATAACAGAAATAAAGCAACAGCGTAAATTCAGACAGGAAATCATTGTACAAATGCATGGAATGTGGAACTAAAGCCCGGTGTCAACTCAAAACGCTTAGGGTTTCGAGTGAGCTGAGACATCCAGCTTTCAAAGTGGACAAACTCTTAAACACTCCAAGAAGTATTCTTGTTTTTGAGACAGACAGGGTTTCTCTGTGCAGCCCTAGCAGTCCTGGAACTCGCTCTGTAGACCAGACTGGCCTCAGTCTCACAGAGATCCACCTGCCTCTGCCTCCTGAGTGCTGGGATTAAAGGTGTGTCCCCACCGCTAGCTTTGTCCTGTACATTTTAAAAGTCTCATTCTATAACCCTGGCTGTCCCTTCTGTGGCCCAGGCTAGCCTTGAACCAACCATCTTTCAATCTGAGCCTCCTGGTGCTCCATGGTCCCTAGGGCTGGAGACACAAGTCAGGGAGACAGAAATGTGGGTCTCAAGTCCCCCCACAGTCCCTCACAGCCTGCATGAGCTGCAGCAATAGGTCCTCAGCAGGTCTATCCTCTTCCTTTATAGAACCCCATATTGGTGGAAGCGGAGAAGAAGGTATCTTACAGCTGCTGTAGCCAGGGCTGGGTGAGCCTGCAGGTGCAGATGGGCAAGAACACCTTCGTGCCAGGTGAGAAGGTGACATTCACGACAGAGATCCGCAACAACACGGGCAAGTATATCAAGACGGTGGTGTTCGCTCTCTACGCCCACGTGCAGTACGAGGGCTTCACGCCCAATGCTGAGCGGCGCCGGCGGGCGGACAGCAGTGAGCTGCTGCGGCAGGTGGCCAACGCTCGCATCCCAGCTTTCAACAGCACCACAGTGGTCAGTGCCTTCACCCTGCCACTGGTATTGTCCGTGAGCAATGGCTCCCAGGAGAACGAGATCATGCGAACAAGCTATGAGCTTATAGTCACTATCCACCTCCCCTGGTCCTTGTCCACCGTCAAAGCCCGGCTCCCCATCATCATCACCAGCAGGAGAGAAGACCTGGACAACTGCCCCCAGGTGGTTGAGTCACCAAACGAGGATCAACTTGTTTGAATGTCCAAACTTTAATATTAAAAACCTATTGTAACTCTAAGTGAGTTGATTGTCTGCTGGGCCTGGGGCTGGCAGGGCACGTACAATACCCTGGGCTCTATCCCAGATACCACACAATCCTGGTGTGATGGCGTGTACCTGCCACCTGGCATCCAGGAGCTGGAGGAACCTCTGATACCTAGCGAGCTCCAGGCTAGCCTGGGTTATGTGAGACCCAGTCTGAAGGCAACAGAGGTGTCTCTTAAGTCTTGCCAGAGCAGTCACTGTGGGCCAAGTTCCCATGGGTTAAGTATCTACCTCTAAACAGAGATCTCCAAGGCCCAGGCATGGTGTCACACTATCCCGGTACTGGGGAGGCTGAGAGCTTTGAGGTCATTCCTGGTTATATATTGCGTTGTCAGCCAGCCTGGGCTATGTGAGACTCTGTGTCAGTGCTATGCCATACTGCCATTAGCAACCTAGCGAAGGCTTTCTGGAACATTCTGTCCAGCTCTGCAGCTTTCACAGGGAGACTCCTTCCCCCTCCACCCCTGAGACTCAGTGACTCAAGCGTTGGGGACACTTCCTGTGTGGTGACTGACGGCACTTACCATGCCAGGTGGGCCAACGGGAGAAGGCAGCTGGGGCAACCAGGTTTCCTGTCCTCCGTGGAAGGGCCCCTCATTCTTCCTGGTTCCCAACCCCAAAATAACCCCCTCCCAGAAACCTAAGCCACTCACACAGCTGCAAGCTCTGGGGGGAGCAGTGGCTGCAGCTGCCGCCGGGGGGATCCTCCACACTGCAAGCCCCAGCCACCAGGGCAGTGACCAGTCTCCCCACCACCTAGGACTGGTGGGAGGACTTAAGGATGCCCCCAGGTCCAAGGTGACACCTCTGTGTTCACTTATTCAGTTTCAAGGTGGTCACCAGGACAGTAGCCCCCAGTCTCCAAAAAGGGGACAGCAGGAACAGCTTGTTCCCACTGGCGTGACATGACTAGGATGTCCTGGACACTGACAGTGCTCTGAGGAGCCGGCCAAGCCGGGCCACCCTTGGCTGGCTTCTCTGGGACCTGGGAGGGCTGTGGTCCCTGAGGGATTGGGTTACAGGCCCCACAGGGCACAGCCTTTGGGCCAGTCAAGATATTTATAAAATGAAGCCTGCCCACTGGGCCCTGCTTGCTTTTAAGTCGCCTCAGGAGCCACCAGGCAGCCTGCACGATCTGTCTCAGAGTCCAGAGAAACAAGGAACCAAGGAAACATAGTGGCTGCCTCTCGCAGGAGCTGGAGTGCCAGGATGTGGTGGACAAAGGAGACCGGGAGACTCACGGGGGGCCTGGAAGAAGCTAGGATAGCCTGGGGGGCCCGAGGGTCTCAGAGCTGTGCCCCTCCCCCAAGCCTGCCACCACCAGGCCTCTCACAGGGGACAGCGGGCAGCTGGCGCCATGAGGCCCAGGGGGGCGGGGACAGCCAGGGCCTGCGTGTTAAATGTCCCCCAGCTTCCTGTGGTGAGGGGCAGCATAAAACCCTGGCCATACAGGCCGCATGAGTAGGAGATGTGGACAGAGGCTGGCCATCAGGTGCTGAGTAAAAGCAAGAACTTGTGGCTATAATGTGTTCTCCAAAGAGTGGGGACCATGGGGACGTCAGGGCTCAGACACTGCAGACAGAGGGCTAGCTTTCCTTCATCTAGAATCTTTGTTTTTCCTGCCTAAAATCTTATGTAACCCAGGCTGACCTCAAACTCACTGCACAGAACAGGCTGACTTGAACTCTCCTGATCCCCCTGCCTCCAGCTCCAGGGTGCTCGGGTGACAAGCATGCAGCCCACCAGGGAATGTAGTGCTGAGGACAGAACCCAAGTTTGGTGTGTACTGATTGAGCAGCAATGCCCAGCCCCTAATTTCTTCTAAAAGATGCCAGAAGTGGTTGCAAATGCCTCTCGTTCCAACACGGAAGATGGCCTCAGTCAATGAGACAAAATAAAAGTTCCTTGGAGGTCAGCAAGATGAATCAATTAGGAAGGGAGTTTGCTGCCAATTAAGGCCAGAGTTCAATCTCCAGGCACCACGTGGCAGAGAGAAAGGATGCCGGCATACTCTTGTCTGACCTCCACACACCAAATAAATAGATGTAACACAATTTTAAAATATCCCTTGGATTAACTCCCCCAAGTATTATGCTGTCTTGTTTTTAAAATAGACTCACTATGTAGATCTGGCTGGCTGGCTGTCCCCTAAATTTAGTCTTAATGTTATCCTGCTGGCCCGAGTTCCCACTGGTCTCTGAGTGCTACCAAGCCAAGAGGATTCAGATTATGTCCCCAGGACCAAGGTTAATAGTACATGCCTGCTAAAACACAGGGAGGGGTGGTGTTGGGGGTCACAGAGGGAAGGGCACCATGGGGGGCACAGAGGAAGGGGTACCGTCAGAGGCACAGAGGGAAGGAGCACCCTCGGGGATCACAGATCACAGAGGAAAGGTGCCGGGGCATAGAGAAAAGGGGTGCATCAGGGGCACAGAAGGAAGGGGCGCCATGGGGGGCACACAGAGAAGGGGCACTGTTGGGGCTTTCCTGTCGGTGCCACCTGCCGGCAGTGTGCCCCATCCCTCCTCCGCCCCTGTGAAGGCCACATTGTTCAGTGGATGCAGGAAGATGAGGAACTCAATCATCAAAGCAATCCAGAGAAAGGAGGTCCGAAACGGAAGTCGGGAAAGATTTGTAGTACCTCCCCAGGTTGGGCTCACGCTTGCACATGCGCAGTTGCAAACGTCTGTTCCCATTCCCCCCCCCCCCGAGAGGTCGGGGAGCAGCAGCTATGGTCTCACCCCCTCAGCAAACATATTCAGCTCTTTCTTAGCCCCTGAGGCCGTCTGAGGTTAACCCCTTGGCTTACAGACCACGGGGAGAAAGACTTCAGGAAGGTGGGCAGCTTCGGGGGCTGCTTGGCCCAGGAGTCTGGGAAGCACAAGTGGACATCTCTGGGTCCCAGAAGGCCTGGGCACGCTGGCCGAGAGAGAGAGAGCAAGCTTTCACCTAGGGCCCCATCCGGACTGTGTATATTCTTGGCTATTGAGTCCCCGCGTCCGGATTGAGACTATCACTTGACACATCTAAAGATGTCATTCAACCATCCTCTGGATCCTCAAGCCTCTTTGAGGTGTTTGGAAACATGCGGGGATTCAAGGACACCCCCCCCACACACACACACCAGAAACCTCTCAGGAAAGGACATTATACAGGGTTTCCTCACTTCCACTCCATCCAGGACCAGGGCTCTAGGCCTTACTGGGACTCAACGGGCAACCTGGTCTGGGTCTCCTGATAAAGGTGGATAAGTGGGTGGGCGGGACTAAGACATGGGATCCTTTGATTGGTTCTCTTTCTCGTCACTCCCAAGCCCCTCCCCCCACGGGATCCAAAAGGCCGCCCCGCCCCTTCCAGGCAGAACCGAGCTGGCCTTGGGAGGGTAGCTTTCCTTGCCTCGACAACCTGAGGACTCTGGTGAGAGCTGGGGGGCCCAGGGTCGATCTTGAGGCGCCCCGGGGGAGGAGGGAGACACGAGACTTTTGCTGGAAGGATCAGAGGCCCCCAAATCTCTCCACGTTAGGAAACTCCACTTTTACAGGAGACTAACTTTTACCGGAGGCTCCAACTTTTACAGCGCTTCCAACTCTTGGCCTGGCCACTCTGGGACTTTGGCGGTAGCGACTGAGTTCCTGAGTGCCAAGGAAGGTGGATTCTACCGTCCTGGGTCCCCAGAATTAGAGCTGTGCTCAAATGCACGCCTCATGCTTCCTGACCTGCGGCTCCACCCTCCTCCCCGGTGCTGAGTCTCCTGTCCCCTAGAGCAACCAACCCAGCAGGGCAGCCTCGTTCGTAAATACTTTCACCAGCCCAGCACTGGCCCCAGCCGCTAGAATGCGTGGAGGGAAGGGAGGGACCCTTGCACAAAGCCAGGCCCTGTTCCACAGAGGGTGTGACCTGAGATCTTGTCCCGAGCTGGGCCTGGTGCCTTCTCTTAGAATCTCAGTCCTTTGTTTCTGTCTTGGTGATTGGTTTTGGAAATGGGCCTGCTCTGTAAACTAGGGTGGCCTGGAACTTGCCATCCCCCTGCCTCCACCAGTAATGCTGGGATGACAGGATTGTCACCAAACCAGGCAAAAAGACTCCTCGACCACTTCTAAGCCCTGACCCGCAGCAGTCTTTGACCCTGGGGGCTTCTGGCTATCTCAGCAGAGAAAGTAATCTTGTGGGCGGGATATGAGGGGGGGAGGGTCAGTTTCTGGCAGCTAGAGCCCGTGTAAGGCGGTCACAGACCCTAAGAATTCAGAAACTGCTTATCTGCAGCGGCCACCCTTTGCTTGGAGTGGGGGCTCCAGGGTGTCCGACTGACTCCTAAGGAATCAATCAGGCTTTGCCGCACCCCTGGTAAGGTGACAGTAATGGGGCTTAGGAGGACCTTACAAGGCCTGAGGCCTGACCCTCATCACCTGACTCTGCTGTTGGGAAATCTTTATCACAAACCGGAAGCTGCTGTCTTCCTAGAGCAGTTAGGCGGCAGTACCCCATCCTCCGGACTCCACCAAGCAATCTACCTGAGAGTCTGAGCTATAGCTCACGGCAAACAAGTTCCCCAAGGGTTTGAGACCTCTGAAGTCCTCCCAGGGGGCTCCAGAGTCGGGATCAGGGATCACCAACACCTGAGTTTGATCTCCAAGACTCTGTGGTGGAACAAGAAAATCTGCTTCTGCGGGTTGTCTTGTGAGCTCGACCTGGGCGTGCTGTGGCGAGCATTCACTCACTTGCACACATGATACATAGTAAATAAAGTGTAGAAAATAAAACAGGAAGAGGGCTGGGGGTGTGTGGCTCAGTGGAGAGCACCTGCCTAGCATGGGCTTAGACCCCTTGGCACCCACCCCAAACATTGTACACACACTAGAACAGACCCAGTCAGTGTTCTGGAGTTACTGGGTTCAGACCTGGCACATCAAAATTTCCTGGGGTGCCAGTGTCTGAGTTAGAAGCAACCTTTAAATTCAGTGTTGTTGTGAGTCAATGGAACCGGGTGGGGAAGACAGCATGGCCCATCCCAAAGCTGCTTTCAATGAGCTGAGACTCCAGCTTCCCTCTAACATGATCTCTTATTTGTTCAAAACCTGGCCTTATTTCTTGAGACAAAGTCTCATGTAACCCAGGCTGGCCTAGGATTCATGATGTAGCCAAAGATGGCCTTAAAGTCCTGATCTTCCTCCCAAGTGATGGGGTGACAGGCATGTGCCATTACCCCTGGTTTCTGTAGTTCTGGGGGCATCATTGGGGTGTGTTAGCTCTCCCCACTAACCCCAGCTCCATTTTTAACTGGTTTTTGAATAGGTGATGTGACTTACCTGGCCTAACATTCAGGGACCTGCCTTCTACACCTGTCCTCTATCCAAAACCTGTTCTTAGTCTGTTTTCCCGATCTTCTAGCATCTATGTAAAGATAAACAAATCAGGTTGGAGAGATGGCTCAGTGGTTAGGGCACTTCTACTGCTCCCTCGAAGGACACAGGTTCAGCTTCCACAGCTTCCAGCACTCACATCAGTCGCCTCACACCACCTGACTCCAGCTCTGGCCACTGCATGCATATAAAACCAAAACATAAATCTTTCTAAGACTTACTGTGTTTTTTTTTTAACTTTTCTGTATACACACACACACACACATAAATCTTTCTGAGACTTACTTTTTTTTTTAACTTTTCTGTATACACACACACATACACACACACGCACGCGTGCGCGCACACACACTAAAGACTTACATTTTTTGTTTGTTTGGTTTTGTTTTTGTTTTTTCTAGACAGGGTTTCTCTGTAGCTTTGGAGTCTGTCCTGAAACGCGTGCGCGCACACACACTAAAGACTTACATTTTTTGTTTGTTTGTCTTTGTTTTTGTTTTTTCTAGACAGGGTTTCTCTGTAGCTTTGGAGCCTGTCCTGAAACTCGCTCTGTAGACCAGGCTGGCCTCGAACTCACAGAGTTGTTTTTGTTTTTGAGATAGGTTTTCACCCTGAAGACCAGGCTTGCCTGGGACTCAGAGATCCACCTGCCTCTACTCCTGGGTACTGGGATTAAAGACGTGCGCCACCATGCCTGACTTAGCTGATTATTTTTAATTACTCGCATGTGAGTGTGGTACCCATAGAAACCTCAGATCCCTTGGAGCTAGAATCACAGGTGGTTGTAAGCCCACTGCTGCGGATGCTGGGAGTCAAACTCAAGTCCTGTGAAAGAGCAGCACATTCTCTGTTCCTTAGAGCCATTTTCAGCCCCAAATACTCTTTAAGGAGAAAGAGAGAGGAAGAGAGAAAGTCTTGAATACTTTTTCACACATTTCGTCTCTGAACATCTTGGCCTGTGAGAATTCTCTGTCTTGAACACATGGGGAAATTGTTAATTTTTAAAAAAATCCCTCTCTGTTGAGCATCTAGGTTGTTTCTACTGTCGTGTTGGGACCCACAAGGGGGCACAGCCCCCTCCCATAGTAGAGCAGATGTGGTGTCAGTGTCAACTGTCTGGTAACATGGAAGAGGGCTGTGAGGGGAACAGTGCCTTGAGAGCAGTGTTAGACCTCACCTTTCTCCTTAATAGATGGACAAAGTAAATTTTTAAATGGACGGATCTGCTAGGTGTGGCCTAGGACCTCTATCACAACCATCCAGTGTTGGGGGGGTCTAAATAAGAGTTTGGGGACGTGGTCAGTTTGGAGCCCCTGCCTAGATCCCCAGTGAGGGTCTAGGGGCGTGGTCAGGGTGGAACCCTGCCTAGAATTCCCCAGAACGGGGCTGGGGGCGTGGCCACGGTGGAGCCCCACCAAGAAACCCCCCCATGATGGACTGGGGGCGTGGTCAGGGTAGAGCCCCACCTAGAATTCCCCAGCAAGGGCCAGGAGGCGTGGCCAGAGTGGAGCCCTGCCTAGAATCCCCCATGAGGGGCTGGGGTATGGCTCAGGGATGCAGATTTGTTGAGTGCACCTGAGTCACTAGGTCGGCTCTTTAACACCAAAGGGTCAGGGGTTGAGGTGCTGTGGTGAACTGGGCCCCACCTTGGACCTTCTAAACTGATGACGGGACTCTGACAGGGTGGAAGGTTCATAGATCACCTCGTCACTTGACTGTCTTTTCTGCCCACAGCACTTGCTGCAAGACCATGTCTAGCAACGGGTCAGATGTCCCTACTGAAGCCCAAGCTGCTGTGGAAGAACCTGTCCCACAGGTGAGGGGCTGAGCTGCAGGGAGCCCTAGGCTTCTGAGGGTGCTCCGTGGCATCCTGCTGGGGGCTGGGAGGGGAGGGGCTGGCCAGGAAAGAAGTCCCTCCTTCTTTCTTTTACTTTTCCTTTTTCTTTCCTTTCTTTTCTTTTAGTTTTGAGACAAGGTCTTACTATGTAGCCCAGGATAGCATGGAACTCACAGAGATTCCCCTACCTCTGCTAGGGATTGAACACCTAGGCCCGGCCTTTCATTCTTTCCTTTCAATATAGGGTCTCACGTAGCACAGGCTAGCCTCGAATTCACTATATGACTGAGGATGATTTTGAATTCCTCTTACATCTCTTTGTCTCTCTTCATCTCTCTGAAACTGTCATTTAGCCCAGGCTGGCCTCTAATTCACTATGTAGCACAGGATACAGTAGTCATGGTTGAACTTTCGAGGCTCCAGCCTGTGTTGAATGACGTCATGTACTGTCACCCCAGGTTTCTAGGGTTGGGGATGGAACATAGTGCTCTAACAACCAGTGCCTAACAAATACGGGGTTCCTCTGTCACCACACTGCCTGACACATCACTGGGTGCTCAGTCCAGTTCTCAAACAAGTCACCAGAAGCACTTGACGGGACTTTCAGGTGCCTTGCCTTGTGCAATTGTTTGTACCAGTCATGGTGGAGCCCAACTGGTCTGCTCCCTCAAAATGAAAGCATGCCTGTGGGCACCCTGACCTGCTAATCGCGTCTCCCGCTCTCCACAGCCCAGCGTGGTGGGCCGCATGGCCAACCTGCCTCTCATCAGCTCCACGTGTGGGATGGTGAGTGCCGCGTACGCCTCCACCAAGGAGAGCTACCCCCACGTGAGGACCGTGTGTGACGTGGCTGAGAAAGGCGTCAAGACCCTCACTGCAGCCGCGGTCAGCGGGGCACAACCCATCCTGTCCAAGCTGGAACCCCAGAGTGAGTTGAGGACCGCAGGGTTTGGAGAATGTTCCTCATGGCCATCTTTGGAGGGAGTCACCCCCACTTCTGAATTCCAGTTCTCTGAAACTGACCCTGGGTGGCTCTCCCGCCTCTGAAGGGCAGTTACAGTGGATGTGTTTTTTCTGGTGCCCTGCAGTTGCGACGGCCAGCGAGTACGCGCACCGCGGGCTGGACAGATTGCAGGAAAGCCTGCCCATTCTCCAGCAGCCGACTGAGAAGGTCAGTACCAGCCATCAGTTGACTCTGCTGTGCGACCCTGCCTGAACCCACCAGGTCCCAGCTTTATCCACAATACAAATACGACAGCCCTCACGGTCCCCCCCACACTGAGCAGAAAGGTCCTGAAGGTGGCAACATCCAGTTAGAATACTACCTGGATCCCATCCAACCCAGAGGAAAGGACACACACTGTCTGTCATCTGGTCTGGCCCCTCAAGCACCACACACAGTTTAGATGGTGGAACATACCTTTAGAAACAGATGCACCATGCCGTGGTGGTATACATCTTTAATCCCAGCAATCAGGAAGCAGAAGCAGGCAGATCTCTGTGAGTTCGAACCAGCCTGGTCTACAGAGCGAGTTCCAGGACAGGCTCCAAAGCTACAGAGAAACCCTGTCTCAAAAAAACAAAACAAAACGAAAAACTAAAGAAACAAACAACAAACAAACAGAGTTGTAAGCCTTTGGGAAGGAACCTAAACCCAAGAAGGCAGGGTCTACATATATAGCAAACGCACCCATCATAATCCTGCCCAGGACCTTCTCATGTGCTATTCTTTTTTGTTGTTGTTTTGGGTTTTTTTGTTTGTTTGTTTTGTTTTTTTTTTTGAGACAGAGTTTCTCAGTGTAGCTTTTGAGCCTGTCCTGGAACTTGCTCTGTAGACCAGGCTGGCCTCAAACTCATAGAGATCCGCCTGCCTCTACCTCCCGAATACTGTTTAAAGGCGTGCATCCCCATCGCCCGGCTTCACGTGCTATTCTTTTTTTTTTTTTTAAATATTTAATTATTTATTTATTATGTATACAATATTCTGTCTGTGTGTATGCCTGAAGGCCAGAAGAGGGCACCAAACCCCATTACAGATGGTTGTGAGCCACCATGTGGTTGCTGGGAATTGAACTCAGGACCTTTGGAAGAGCAGGCAATGCTCCTAACCTCTGAGCCATCTCTCCAGCCCTTCACGTGCTATTCTTAACTGAACCAGAAACTCTAATCTCCAGAACATCTCCATTAACCAAATCCAAACTAGTAGATTGGTCTCTTTTTGTGTGTGTGTTTTTGTTTGTTTTCCGTTTTTTGTTTGTTTGTTTGCTTTGAGACAGGGTCTTACT